TCTCTGCTTCCTTCTTCTACGAGCTGCCCACTGCTACTACTTCTTTTCACTTCAACTGACACTTCAAAGCAACGGAGTTGCCCTGTGCTCTTTTCTTATGACAGCGACGTAACTCTACTACTTTTAATTATTTTTGCGCCACTGTCATACCTACTTTCCTACATACATATAGACTGTTCATGAAGTAGGCATATACAGATATGGACAGTCTGGGTATCCGCATTAAACATAACAAATTAAGATATGTATGGACTACCAATGGAGCATGGGTTGTACAGAAGTTGGTGCTTCGTTATATACTAACATATTAAGGCCATTGGCAGAGGCTAAAAATATATAGTTATAAGTGGTGTGGAACCGCCATGTAAGTTTTCGAGAGATAGATGCCAACAGGTATTGATATATTTACCATGCCTCACAATCACAATACTAATAATGCACCTATAAACAACCCATTGATCTACTTATGCAGATACTTATTCATACTTAATATTGCTACCGTATAAATAATGCACAAGTATAATTGCATTATTTATAAAGTATAATGCATGTCAACAAGTATAATTAAATGATTGTAAATAACATACTCTTTATTTGATTGTTTGTTTGTTTATTTGTTTATTTACTTATATTACACACGTTAAAAAATCTTTTTAAAAAAGGAATCTACTGAAGTATTTTGTGAGATTTCTGAGGTCTTTTGGAGGTACTTAAAGATTTAGGAATTTCTTAAGCAATTCTACATTTAAAGATTTACATTTGTAAAGTTTTTGAGTTTTACATTCTTATATATTGATACATTGCTGTAAGTTTACATTAAGTACATTCCTTACGTCTCTGATTTGCATTACATCTCTAACATTTTGATTTTCACATATCTTGATTGCATGTATATAAATCTAAAATTGGAATATAAAAATAATATAAAAGTAAAAAGTATAAAGAGGTATAATACAATGTACATAGAACTAGTCTCCGGCACCCTGGTCGCGTTTCTGGCGTGGAAGGGGTAAAGAAGTAGAATCTATCCGCTCTAAATATAGATTGAGACCACGTGCGATAAAACGAGGCAGAGTGGAATAATCCACAGAGGGATCCCAGCGGACACCCATTGCGGCGTACACATGTTTAAATAGACTCAGCTGAACACTTAATGGCAGCTGAGTGTCGTGAGGTAAAGACAGAGGATTGGAAGAGATAGTATGAGAGGTGTGCTCTTGATGTAAATGGAGGGGGGAGCTAGAATCATGGAGTATATCAATGAAAACCCATATGGATATTGGAATTTAAAAATGAGAGAGCGGCGAGAAAAAGTGAAAGGGTGTCCATAAGGCTCATTGTAGTTAGCGAGTAACTTCTCCAGTTCAGACTGGACAAGATACTGAGGATAACCGTTGGTATAGAACCGAACAAGACAGTCAGCCAGATCTTCTGCGAGGATAGTATTGCTAGTGCGATAAAATACATGGCGCAAATGAGTAGAGAGTACAGATTGCTTAACCTTAATAGAAGTATGAGAAGTATAATGGGTCAAACGCATGGATTCAGTGGATTTATGATAGACATTCACTAAGAAAGCATGAGAGGTGTGAAAAATACGATAATCGAGATAAGCAACACAAGGGAAAACACTATATTTGAGATCTGGTTTTTCTAAAGTATAAGTTACGTCGTACCCAATGAGGCGGGGAAAAGCATCCATAAAACTAGAAACAGAGGAAGAAGGCATGTAGAGGAGCACATCGTCGATATACTTTCACCAGGTTAAGACACTATGGGACAAGAACAATGGATTATAGTTAAGTTTAATCTGAGCATCTAAGAATATAGAGGCCAATAAGCCAGAGTCCCCTCCACCTTGAGGTAACCCTTCGTGTTGCTGATACAGATCACCATTGAAGTGAAATAACTGGCCTTATGGAGTATGAAATCTAATAACAAACGCATCATGCCGACATCGATAGGGCAAGCAGTTTTAAACCAGTCCTGACCCATAAAGAACTGCAATAAATCCCATAAAGGAGGGATGGGAGTGCTTGGGTACATTCCCCGTATGTCCATTGTAACTAACACATAGCCAGGACGAGGCCGCAATTGTAGTAGATGATCGGTAAGTTCATTAATGTTTGATGGATTATGACACGAAAGTTTACTCTGGAGAGTAGCAGATAGTAAAAACTGACATAACTTGTGTAAGGGGTGAGAGTACCAATGGATGGGACTGCAAATCGGACGGACCGGACTGTCAGGCTTATGGGTTTTGATAGTCCCATATAGATAGGGCAATGTTGGCGATGATGACGTGGCTGGACGTGACGTGATGGCGGAGGTCGTAGCGACTGGGACCACAGAGGCTATACATGGAGCTGTATCTATGACATTTTTAGCTATGACCTGTGTAACATTGTTTTCTAGTGCTAATTTTAGTAGTAATTTTAGTAGCATTTTTTGTAACAAGAAACGGTCTTGATTGTAGGTCTGTTGTTGGCTTTAGGCATGAGGCCCCGACTTTGGGATTCGTTTCTGTTCCTGATGTGGTAGCTGATGTGGTTAATGAAGAGGTAATGATAGGTGTTGTAGTGACCACACATGAACTCGGACCGGCGGCTATTGCAGGAATGGATGACATCATGGATGTAACAATTGATGATAAGGAGATCCGTAAGATGTGAGTCCGATACGACGAGATGAATGAAGCGGTGGCTCTAGAAAAACAGTAGTGTATAACATGGTAAATGGAGAAATGGATGGATAAACAAATAATAAATGAATGAATAAACAAAAAAGAATAAACCAAAAGAGAATAAGCAAATGAATAGATAAATAGATAATTGGAGACATAAATAAATAAACTAAAAAAATGAATAAGATAAACAGGTAGATGGATGAGAAAAACTTGTAAACGAGTACATAGAATAACTGAACGTATATAAACGAACAAATAAACAAATAAACAACAAATTATAGATACCAAAATAGATAAAGAAGAAACAACAATAATAAACAAATAAATATAAAATAATACAAACCAAACAATAATATATATATACACAAAATAATGGAAAATAAGAAAGATATATATAATATAAATAACAATAAAAAATAAAAAATAAGGATAAAATAAGAATAAGGAATTGAAAGATAAAGAAATAAATAAATGGAAATAATAAAAAAACAATAATAGAATAACAATGGAAAATATAGAATGTAATATAATTAAATAATAAAACAAAAACAGAGACAAATATAAACAACAGAAATAAAGAATAAAATAAAGAATATAACAAAGTACATAAATATTGCATAATATACAAATATTAAAATAAATTAAAAATAAAAATAAATAAAAAATAAGAATAAAATATTAAAAATAAAATAAATAAAAATAAATGACAATAAAGATAATAAGAATAATAAAATAAATAAAATTATAAATTCACAATGTAGTGTAAGATATATAGTTAAGTTGAGTTGAAATGAAACGCACTCTTCTGTAGTAAATTTATAACTTACTCTTTATTTGTTTCTCAAAAATCTTAAAATCTAAAATTATAGTAATTGTCTTAAAAACTAAAAGAGAGTCTTACAGTATAATTATAATTAGTTGTGGTTCACACACATATTATGATATAATAATGTATAATTATGATTATGATATATTATGTACAATTATGATTATGATATATTAAGTATATTATAATATATGACACCCTCACCCCTACATTCAACAGTCCCTGTTGAACGTTTATTTCAATTAATCTAATTAAATTACAAAACCATATTTAAATTTTAATGTTATTAATTATTATTATTGTTTTGAAATTTAAACTTTCGCTTTACTTGTGTTTTATATATTTTTTTAAATTTGTTGTTATTTGACAATATGTAATTCCCTTCTTTCCTGCAATTAGTAATTCTTTTATATTTTGGTTGTGACTTACTGACTCTATTATTATCTACAAATTGATTTTCAAATTGCTCGGTATTAACATTGTTCTTTTTTATGTTTATTGTCTTAATTTTGTTTACTTTATTTTTATGTATTTGGTCAGATAAGTTAAAAAGTTCTTCTTTAGATATTAAATTATTTATAAGATCTATAGGTCTTGTTTTTGTAGTAGAATGTATAGTGTTATTGTATAGGGTAATAGATTTAAATACTTTCTCAATACTTTCCCATCCTTGTTGTCTACGTCGGCGTTAAATAACCTGATATTTTCGTTCAGAGGGAGATGTAACCTCTCTATGTCACTATTACCTAAAGATATGTTATTTTCTTTAAAGAATTCTTTTAAAGATATAATATCTAGTTCATTATCTGTGACTATATTTTTAGGTTTACCTAAATATTGAACTCTCATTTTGATCTCTTCTAATATCGAGATCCATGATCTGTCTTTCAAAGCGTGCGCTGTTGCATACTTCGTGAGCTTGTCAATATTGGTTAAGTACATAACATTTCTTTGGGGATACCAAATATCAAAATGAACGATTTCATTGTGACAACGAGGAGTTTCTGTTATACTAAGGCAGTGTTTCAGTGGCTGCCTATCATATTTGGCCAGATTACATATATCGCAGTTATTGATAAATTTTTGTATTGTTTTTAGAAAATCAGGGGAGTAATACTTTAGTTTCAACTCTGAAAATATTTCATTAACACCTCTATGATTATTTCTAGCATGCTCCTCTTCGATTATATTAAGTAATTTGTCCCTATCAGTAATATCTTCCAGTAACGTGTTCGATTTTAATACTCGTAAAGTATTAAAATTTGTTATTTGCAAAGTATTTTGAGTACAGTTCTTGAAATTGTAAATATAATTGATTATCGCTACAGTATACTACAATTAATCCTTTTTCAGGCAATTTATCTTGCATTATTTGTAAAAGATCACTATTTGATGAAACCCCAATTATTTCTCTAGTTTTCCTTCTGTATAAAATTTTTGTTTTAAGATACTCCCTTTTCGATTTCTGCAAAAATATTTGTCTTTTAAATAAATTGAGTGGCTTTTCTGAAATGCTAATGAAGTGCGCACTGTCAGTATCTGCACTGTGAACAGTTTCGATGTCTTCATTAAACAGTTCATTTAAGTTAATATAGAATTCGTTTATATTTTTCTCTTATACATGTCTACTGAGCCCATCTGCTACGACATTTTCTTTTCCTTTGATGTGTGATATGTCAAAGTCATATTCATTAAGTTCAATCTTCCATCTCTGTAACTTAGAATTCGGTTCTTTCAAATTGCTAAGCCAAATAAGTGGTCTATGATCTGTCTGAATTGAAAACTTGCGACCAAACAAATATGGGCGAAAATGTTTTGTTGCCCAAACAATTCCTAAGAGCTCTTTCTCAATAGTACTATAGTTTTGTTCATTAAGTTTTAGTGCACGACTAGCATAACAAATTGCTCTACCATTTTGCATGAGTATTGCACCAAGCGCAAGGTTACTCGCATCTGTAATAAGGGTGAATTTTTTATTGAAATCGGGTGGAACGAGAGTAGGGTCAGATTTAAGAAGAGTTTTAAGTTTTTCGAATGCGTCTTTATATTCTTGATCTTTTATATTAATTTTAGTATTTTTTTTTAAATATTTGATAAGCGGACATGCTATTTTCGCATAATCTTTTATGAATTTTCTAAAGAATCCTGTTATACCTAAGAATGACTTAATTTCTGTTTGGGTTTTGGGTAATTCAATCCCGTTTATAGCATCAACTTTGATGGGGTTAGGTTTTATCCCTTTAGATGTGATTAAATGTCCTAAATATTCTGTCTCTTGAACTAAAAATGCGCACTTGTTTAACTGAACTTGCAGATTATATTTACCAAGGCAATTTAAGATTTTATTAAGTGAGTCAAAATGTTCTTCTACGCTTGAAGAAAAAATGATTATATCGTCTAAATAAACAAGACAATTTTTCCCAATAAATTCTTTTAAAACACGATTCATTAATCTTTGAAATGTGGAAGGAGCGTTTCGCAGTCCAAATGGCATACGCAAGAACTCGTAGTGCCCATACGCAATTGAGAATGCAGTTTTTGATATATCATCTGGATGCATTTCAATCTGGTGAAATCCTTTTGCCAGATCCAATGTTGAGAAGAACTTACAATCTCCTAATTTGTCAAATATGTCGTCCATATTTGGAATTGGAAATCTGTTTTCAATTGTTATATCATTAAGTTTGCGATAGTCAATTACTATACGCCATTTTTTCTCATTGCACTGATCTTTTTTAGGCACTATCCAAATAGGACTATTATATGGACTATGAGATTCTTGGATTATTCCCTAATCTAACATTTCTTTTATTTACTTATCAATTTCATTTTTATGTATTTGGGGGTATCTGTATGCTTTTGAGTAAATTGGTACATCATTTTTTGTTATTATTTTGTGCTTGATTTCATTTGTAAAAGAGAATTTGCCATTAATATCATTGTCAAAAACTTTATAATTTTTAGCAATAATTGACTTAAGTATTTCTGAATTTTTCTTATTTAAATGTTCAGTTTTAATTTTGTCAAATGTGTATTCTAATGTATTAGTAAATAATTTTATACTGTTGATTTCGTTAGTTTCATCTTCTTTGTTTATAAAAAGGTTTAGTACAGCTTTAGTTGTTCTCACTTGTCTATTTGGATAATCTATTACAAAATTTAAATCTGTTAAAATATTTTTCCCTATAAGACCATCAAAATTTCTATTAAAATTGCATTCAAG